GATTGTTATTCGGTCTTGTCTTGTATTGCAATAAGCCAAGGTCAGTGGAGAACTTGACCAAGCAGCTTGAGGAGCTGTCGGAAAAACACGATCAGCTGGCCGATCTGAAATCTGCCTATGACTGCGACGAGAAGATCGATAGTGCGACCCTTGACAGCATGAACCCTGCTAAGTAAAACCCGCCTATCTACTATCTGCTTCTTATAGTCCGTTCTACTACAATCACTAGAAACCTTCCCCAGGAAGCTGACGAACCTCATGAACTCCGTGAACAAGTTGCCCCTCGGCAAGCAATGCCTGTCCTTTGCACGCACGGGCGATCGCAGCGCCGAATCGCGAGTTCGCCCTGCAGGGCGAGCCGGATGACTATGGAGGAAAACAAAATCAAGAAGACACTCAGCCGCACCCACATGCAACTTCAGTGTGACCGTCACAGCACAGTGCATGCAAACATGTTCTTCAGGACGACGCTGCCTTCTCTGAAGACCTCTGACCAGGCCCCAGTCCCAGCCTCCAAGGCAAAGCCCAAGTGCAAGGGCGGTCCCAAAAAGAAGGCAAAGTGAACCTTTTGCAGCCGCACAGGTGACAGGGGCACACGCCGAGGTTTTGGAAACCTAGCTTATACCACTAGGGTTGCTGGCTATAGCTACTGTACTGTAAGGTTGTGATGTCGAGATCGTGCCCCGCACAATGTGCACTGCTTCTCGAAGTCGGGGAAGGGGTCGGGGAAGCAGAGCCGAAGGAAAAAGTCTTTCAGCATCGAGTTTGCAAAGCTAATGTGACCTAGTCCATGATTAGATCTATATATTGACAAACAATGCTCGCAGGTACTTTATCTGTGCGATCGCTGGACAGCCAGATCTCCAAGGCTTCATCTGCTACGGCCTCCCGGGCCAGTGGACCTATAGAATCTGCTGTGACGACTGCCCTTACGAAAGGTGTGCCTGGGCCACCCAAAATGCCCCAAACCCTTAAAGCCCGAAACCGTCCAAACCCCCATGATCGCTGAAACCCCTGAAGATCCCAAAAAGCCTTTATAGAATCCTGTAACCCAGATTGAAAACCCTAAGCTAAACCATATAGCTTATATACCCTGATAAGCCCTAAAAGGTTTCCTCGGAGATGAACCTGATATGTGTTGAAAACCAAGGTTTCGACTGAGTGGCTTGCAAGCCTGGCAAATGCTGTGGTTTCAGAAGTCAACGATACATTTGGTGAGGAGGCTGCCGCAAAGCTTCAATCTTACAAGCTGCTGCGAAAGATGAGTCAAGGATTCATTACTGGTCATGCAGCATCGATAACCCGACAGGCTTTAGATGCAATGCCCGAAAACCAGGCACCTGTACCGGTTACAAAAGTTGATATCGGCTTGGCGGAACCTTTTCCTTGTATTCTGTTTTCTGATTACCTTCGAACACTGGCTGGCTACAACAAGCTGGATGTACTTACACAAGGTGTTAATCTTGAAAACTTGTGGGACAAGTTGCAGCCTCTGTATCCGGAGCATCCCATCTTCGGCTTGCCTGCAGAAGCCCGGGCTCGCACTATTCCTCTTTATCTCATAGGGGATGAAGGGCGAGGTTGGAAGAAGTCAGCTGTGTTCGTGTTGGGATCAGAATCGATGCTCGGCACGGGCTGTGATGCAGAGGACGAACAGACTGCAGGCGATGCCATGAAGATGAACTTCAAGGGAAACACCATTCTTACAAGGCAGCTGTTTGCATGCATGCCGAAGTTCCTCTATGTCAAGGACGACAAACCCCTACACAAGCTTGTAAACATCTGGGCAGAAGACTTTGCAAAGCTCTTCTACGAAGGCCTGCGACTCTGCAATGCCGCCAGCGATTCCATGGAAACATGGCGAGTTTGTGTTTTGGGATTAAAGGGAGACTGGCCGGCTCTGGATAAGCTAGGTCGATTGCTGAGGCACTTTCGCCGTGAAGCTTTTCCTTACAAAGTTGGCATCTGCCACTTGTGTATGGCTAACACTCAGCAGTGTCCGACGTGGCATGAAGCTGACTTTTCAACGGCTCCATGGGTTCGGACAATGGCTACATCCACAATTCCCTGGGATCCGAGAAAAGAGTCTGGGCTCACTGCACGGATACCGATGGCAGCCAAAGGCAAAGCATCTTTCTTTCTGGTGGATTTATTCCATACCTGTCATAAAGGAGTGCATGCCGAACTTTGTGGCTCTGGGCTGGAACTCCTCTTGCATAGTACGGGTTTTATAACCGTCCCTGAACCCTATAAATACCCTAACTAAACTCCCTATACTGAGCAAGTATATATACGAATACTTTTTGTAGTCTGTTATACTTCAGAAGTTTTGGTTTGCACGCATCTGAGATGACACTCCGGGACTTTGGGGTCACTGGAAGTTCTGCAACCGGTCTCGACAAGAACCTCGCTCATTTATATGAGGAGATGAAAGCTTTCGCTGCTGATCGCAATCTCTACTTGCACATGAATGCTTTGTCCAAAGGGCTGCTGGGGATCTCTTCCTCAGCAGACTTCCCTTGTGGGTGCCTCCACTGCTTCGCATCGTTTTGTACTTTGCTTTTGTCAAAGTTAACATTGTAATAGACCGCTTTGTGGACCTTCAGTGTCCAAGTTGTGCCGAGGCAATGGTTCAAAGGGGCTGATACTACCTTTGTCCTCAAGTTTCTCGTCTTCAAGTACGAGAATGTCATGTCGTCGCATGACCTGGGGGACAATCGCCTCTACTTCCAAAGCATTCTGGATTGCTTGAAGGCTTCTGATGGGTTCTTGAGCTCTTTGTATAAAGCTGGCTTATTCCTGAGGAGGCGGCGGCTGGTGAGGGTTGTGCGACTTGGACTTGAGATGATTTCGTCGTACACCCGGTGTGCAGCTCTGGCATTGTCCAAGTCGTTGGCTCGCTACAAGCTCACACCGAAATATCATATGCTTATGCATGTGGTATATCAGCTGCAGCTGGACAAGGATGCGAACCGGGAGCCCGTGAACCCTTTGGCATACTCGTGCCAGATGCCGGAGGACTTCATTAACCGTGTTGCGACTCTGGCAAGGAGTGTGAGCCCTCGGTTTGTGCCGGCGAGAACCTTGAGCCTCTACAAGATTGCACTCGCGAAGGTGTGGGCATGAAAAAAAGTGCGAAGGCAGCGACTTTTCGCATGTTCGGATAGTTTCTGGGCAAGGGAGTTTAGGCCACCGAAAGAAAACACATCACCAGAGACCGGTTCCAAGAAAGTTGCACAACTTCAGCGATTCAGGTAACCGCTAGCCCAGCCCCGCGTGGCAAACAGTCCTTGGTGCACGGAAAGCCGGCGGCGCAGGAGCGGCCGCAGTGGTTGAGGGCAGAATCGAAGCTCTTCCTTCCTCCGCCCTTCCAAACCCCCATGTCGGCGGCATCGGTGCAGCCGCCACCCTCGAGCTCAGCTTCCTCCTCCACCTGCGTGGACTCCTCCTCGTCATCCTCCAAGGCCTCCAGGTAGTGGACCTTGATGCCGCGCAGCTGGTTGAGCTCCAAGCTGCAGTCCTGCCCGGCTTCGCAGACGTCATCCGACGCCAAAGCTGTCGCCACGTCCTCTCCGAAGGCACCGGCAAAGCTCAAGAACACGAACAATGCTCGAAGAGCCATGGCTGAGAAGCAGGGCTAGCAAGAACGCTTTGAAGATACTTTGAGAGCAAAGTGAGCTAAAAAGCCGGTGCATCGTCATTCTTCATGTCGGCGATGCCGTGAAGCAACAAGGCTTGCACACCCTGAAAATCTCTGGATTGTATGGTGTGAAGCCTCATGTGCATATAGTCAAGTGCAGCAAGGTTAAACCGTGCTGCACATAGCGTTGCATCCCAAGCAACCCCAGCAGACAGTCAAGAAAAACATCACAAACTTGAAATGTAGTTTCGTGCCCTTACGGATCTCGCTCTCACTACGAAGGCACAGTACGCATGCACTTCTTTGAGCCAGTGCAAATGCCGCCAGGTCTGCCGGAGGTTCTCTGTGGTCCTGCTCTAGGACACACAGTGTTGCAGACTCGCATACGCAACAAAGAAAGCCGAAGCACCAAGCTCACCTCCTTGGGCGGCTAGGTGCCAATCGGTCCAAAGATGACTGCTCTGGTCTCAGTGTCCACCAGCATTGAGACCGCTGCAGGCCTTCATCTTGGGACGGCAGTTGGCCTTCACGCAGTGCGTGCACGCCGGGGCCTTGTCGTTGGTGATGCCTGCAGGTGCTGAGCTTGACAAGCCAAACACATGCTGTTTCTACCCACTGTCGAAACAAAGGGAAATGTTTCTGCCGATGCTGAAGACCAAGACACATTGGTTCATGCAGTGGTCCCTCGAGCAGCCCACCAACTGGGCCATGCATGAAGCACAGCCGGCCGAGTAGCCCTTCTTCTGCATACAGTCCTTCCATTGCCATGCCGCTAGTCTGTCTTACCCGTACTCCTCATCTCCTTCCAGCTGTGCTGGAAAACCCTGCCTATAGACCTTGACCTAACCGCTAGCCCAGCCCCGCGTGGCAAACAGTCCTTGGTGCACGGAAAGCCGGCGGCGCAGGAGCGGCCGCAGTGGTTGAGGGCAGAATCGAAGCTCTTCCTTCCTCCGCCCTTCCAAACCCCCATGTCGGCGGCATCGGTGCAGCCGCCACCCTCGAGCTCAGCTTCCTCCTCCACCTGCGTGGACTCCTCCTCGTCATCCTCCAAGGCCTCCAGGTAGTGGACCTTGATGCCGCGCAGCTGGTTGAGCTCCAAGCTGCAGTCCTGCCCGGCTTCACAGACGTCATCCGACGCCAAAGCTGTCGCCACGTCCTCTCCGAAGGCACCGGCAAAGCTCAAGAACACGAACAATGCTCGAAGAGCCATGGCTGAGAAGCAGGGCTAGCAAGAACGCTTTGAAGATACTTTGAGAGCAAAGTGAGCTAAAAAGCCGGTGCATCGTCATTACTGTCGACTGTAGATTCGAGGTCGAGACCCCATGAATCCGCTCAGACCCCGGAACCCCGAGGCCGGATCCTGCCCATCTGCTCCAGCAAGCCTGGAGGAGCCTGTGAAAGGAGGGATGTCCGTGTGGGCGAGTGTTGTGGGGTTACAGGGCTATATATGTTTTCGTTTTTGTGTTTTTGACTCGGTCGCAGGGTTCTGGTTCCTGAGCTGTGCTGTCAGAACCCTACTATCGCTTGTGTTCGCTCAAGACTTGGATTCGTGTTACCATCGGGCAGATTAAGCCTCGCAGTTTGTTGTGGGATGCTCCAGCCTTGCAAACCTTCCAGTCTCTGGGATCCGATTCGCTGTTTGGTGGCGCTTTTCTATTCCCGAACTCCCCGCAAGTGCGTACTGATGCATCCCATGGTACTCGCAGAGCATATAGAATACTTTTCTCAGCGCTTCCTGACTCGGCCACCCTACAAAACCGAATCCATCCAAATCCAAGCTGTGTGGTTTGGACGGCCGTCGAATCTCAATATCTCACCCCCACACCCCCGGCTCCAGCACCTGCCGTCTGGCTAGGTACTGTTCCAATCTGCTCTAGGTGTTGAGCACCGTATTGTAAAACCGTATAAGATTAACCCCTGTAGAGAAACTAATGCGGGAGGGACCTCAGCTACAAACACCACCCTGGACGACGCCGAAGCTCGACCCTCCGGGTCGCCGCACACCGTAGTAGGCCCCTTCGCGCGCGCCAGCCAAGACTCGCCCTCGTAGCCGGCATACCTGGATGCTTATACCCGCCAGCGCATAGCAACTGTGCATCGCTGGATACACTTACAACGATGATGTGCATTTGCCACGGAAAACTGACACAAGCGTGCCTTTGGGCGAAAGATTTTGGCCACTTCGGTCCATCGCTCGCACCCCCACTATCGAGCTTACTTGTACCCTCCCTCCTTCTTGTCACGCCATGCAAGGGATCGAGTGTGAGGGTGCATGCCGTGTGCATCCTACATCGCAGGCGCAATTTTCCAGTTGCATCAGCAACCTGATTAACAACCCGGATTCGAATGGTAGATTCAAGGATTTGGTCCCATTCGCAGCCCCTTGAAAAGCCAGCGAAACAAAATCCTGACCAGGAACCTAGCGGAGAGTGCAACAGGAACCAAGCGGAGTATCCAGCAGCACGGTACGGGTGTCTTTGGGTCTCGGTCAAGCCGGCGATTCCGGGTTTGCCATGCCTTCGCAGAACTTCATGGAAATTCACAGAGCTTCTGACAATTTCACAATTCTTCACAGACTAGTCTGTGAAGATCTGTGAAATTCTCGTCTGTGAACTTCTGTCTGTGAAGTTCTCTGCCAACCTGCGAATATCTGTGCGCTTCAGAGTTTCGGATTTGATTCGGTGTCTTAATACGATTAAGGAAAACGTAGCGAAAGCATTGATGAACACCTAACGAGGAACCAGATTCGCTGAGAAGGTTCAAGAGGAATCTTTTGGATATTCAAGCGGGGGATGGTGAGTTAAAGAACGTCTTGAAATCCTAAACCCCATGCTCCGACAGTGCTTTTACGCGGACCTAACCCCAGCGGCGCGATCTTCGTGACAAAAAACGACAGAGCGCAACAGACCGAGCATGAAGCTCGGCCGTAATCAAAGTCGGTTTAGCGTTCAGGATTTGGGCTTAAGATTTGCCCGGTCCAGGAGCTGGGGTTTTGGAATAATTGGGGTTTCGAGGAATTGAGGGCTTCAGGTCTGTAAGGCATTCGGTTCCCGTGTGAAGGGGCATCGAACCTGGCATCTTTTGAAACGGCATCTCAGTAACCTTTGTATAGGATTGCTGCTCCTCAAACCCTAGAAAAGCAATACAATCAGAAACCCCACCGAAAGGTAGCCAGGCTTTCGGGGCCAGCGGCTAATTTATGCGTCCACTTGCCTTGGATCTCTAAACGTCTTAATCCTAATTCGTAGCCTAAAGCTGCCAAGGAAGGCCCTTATGAACTTACCGGGAACCAACAAGTTCCAGCTAATCCTAGATGGAACCAAGTCAGCAATCGCCAAGGCCGCAGCCGCATCCCTGAGACGGCCCAGATCGTCCAAGCCTGAGTAGAAGTACAGGCAGTAGCCAGACTTACGTGAGGATTGGATGGGAGTGTGTGGCAAAATTCGACACATATCTATAGGCATTCCAGAACAAGCATATTGCAACTTACACAGTAGAACTCCGCAGTGGATTACCCCGTGTCCAAAAAGGCACGCTAGTCCATCTTTGCCGGATTAAGCATCTTGGAGTCTTCGCCTGATGTTCTGGCTGGTCGGCGTTTCTGACTTCGGATTTGGGGTGGGTGTTGCGAGTTCGGGGATGTGTGGAACAGATCTCAGTCGTCTTCGAAGCAATCGCAAAACCATCGTCTACACTCTATAGCAATTTAGGATGGAGATTTCGCATTTAGAATAGGAGCGACTTCCGTTATGAGGACTCGGGAATGGAGGCTTGACTTCCGACTAAGCGTTGCAAACAACGTCCTAGCTTTCCCCACGGGTTGGCCCCGGCTCCGAATACGACTCTCACGATCTCCGGGCCCAGGCGTGTCTGGAGCACGTCTAGGCGACAGGCAGCCCCACGCAAATCCCTGCAGGGGGTTGCGGCTACGGCGGCTTTGGGTTTATTGGGGCTTCGCATTTGACATGGTTTCAGGGGTGTTTACTATGGGATTCAGGAATAGAAATTTCGCCTGTCACGGCTTGGGCAATGAGCGCTGAACCCAAGACTCATGGCTCTTGCGAAAAGCCTAACCCCAAAGCATGGAAGGCACCAAATGCAGGAAAACAATGAAACTCTCGTGGCCTACTGGTTGTCAGAGGGATCAAGAACCCCAGGGTTCAATCTCGAAATTGCAGCCAGAGCGTGGTTGTAGGGCTTTGCTATCGCAAAATGCATTTTCGGAAATCTCATGAATCGTGCGAAATCATCGCATTCAGGCTAGGGGCTGTCCGGCGGCTCTGAATATCAGCTATGCCGAGAAGGCCTGTCACAAGTCAAACGGTAAGTCCTGATTGGCGCATTCGACCCGGACTGCTGAGAATCATGGAGCAAGAAAGGCTGGCAAATTGAGCGTTCTTGCTCATCCAAAACCCGGTACTTACTGGTCGCACCCGGCTGTCTCCAGTGTCGTCCAGCGAGTGGTGCTGGAAACGGGGATATTCGTCTGCAAGTTCCACCTAGGTTGCGCACATGTGCGTCTACGCGTGTGTCTAGATGCGCATGTACATCATGTATGTATACATACTTACCATCTATCTAGAGAGAGACAGTATATGCAAGAAGACTCAATTGAATGGTGGTTACGATGCTGCTCCTGATGATGACGCCGGTGAGGATGACGATAGTTATGACCGTGAGAATGATGATGACGATGATAATGATGACGATGATGATGGAGTCTCTGCTTGCATCTGAACACATGTATTGCAGCCCTATCCGCCCCAGGCATCCTGCAGCCCTCGGCGCTAAACCCCTGCTGACCATCACAGTTCCGCCCAGTGTCGTCCGCTCAAAGGTCGGGCCCAAAGCGGCCTTCGAGAATTCAAAGTCAAGGCTCTGGCCTAGCTTTCAACTTAAGGGTTGAGTGGTCGGGTCTACAATATAAGGTTCAAGGTTCACAGCAGTCTTCGAAGATTTAGCATGGGATGCTAAATCACACGCATCACACGATTGAGGCCTGATACTGCTTTACATGGGATTGAGGCGACAGTGCATGTCATAAATGAAGGATGTTTCGGATCGAGCAGAGAGTGCTGCAAACTATTTCTGCCGACTCAGGACACCTACTGACCCAATCGTGCGGCAGGTTTCGACTTACGTAGCTGATTTCAGAATGCTTGTTTTCATAAGGGCCCCGAAAAGGGCCCTGAATTGTAAGCTCGTGCAAGTCACATGTACAGGGCTTCTGGCACGAGGGCTTCAGGCTCTTACGAAAGGGTGCACACCTGTAAAGGACTCTGCGCCAAAGGGATCTGTGCTCACCGTGGTTCGCAAGGGCTGTTGGTCTGGAGCTTGCGAGGTCTAAGTGTTCCATTGGTGGCTTTGCCCGATGGCTCAGGCTGTTGCAAGCGAGTGGCAGGCCCCTGCAATCGAAAGCAAGCGACGACCGAAGATGAGAAACAGGGGAGCTTGGCTACAGGTCTACGTTGACATACGAGCGCCGATGGAATTGCACAGTCTGCACCTGGAGGATTCAGGATCTCAGAACCAATCTGATCCCCCTAATTTTTTATGGCCTTGAATGTTGCGGCTTCAATCACGAATTGCAGACTTTGTGGTCCCTCATTGAGTCCCACCCAGAACTTCCAAAGCGGAGAGTTCTGCACGAACCTTCTGGCCGGTAATCGCCGAATACAAGAGAGGCTACCCGACAGCAAACCCATCCACCTGCAAGGTGTTGCTGCACTTCGCGAGCTCGCCGAGCCAGAACCTCAGCGCATGAGCGCTTTGACACATGACGCTTCCAGACTTGTAGCCTGATTGCTTGGGAGGTACACTACCTTCGCAAAGAGACTGCCTGGGGTGTGGTGCCCTGCAGCTGTGCTCTGAGAAACAAATCGTCCCGTGCGAATGGCCTTAGCCACCTCCTTCCAGAAGTACTTCAGGTCTGCCCGTTTCATGCACCAACGGTCCAGGGCGCACAGACTCGTGTAGCTGCATGGCTTCCAGCGTCATGCAGAAGCATAGGAACCAGCATTGCTCTGGCTCCACTGCTTCACTCCCAAACGCGATCCCAAGTTAGTGCAGGTGAAATGAACCAGACGCTCAGGGCCATCATCCCCAGCATTCTATCAGAAACAAGCAACTTCCGTGAGAGTTCCTCCCTGACACCCTGGCTGTGCATCCTGATCCAATTTCATCTTAAATTCCTGCCTTTCTCTCCGGGCACTCCTCTCTAAAATTAAACCTAAGAGATCGTACTCCCGAGCCTGCGAGTTGCTGTACTAGTGACTCACTCCCTTACTTTATTTGTTAACGGCATGAATGTCAGTCTTTCTTGAGGGAGCGGACTCCAGTGGACCGGTCTGAAGATGCCTCCGCGCGGCATCCCACCTGCTGCATGTAGAGGCAAGACACATCTCATATATTTTTTCTATATCTATATCTATATATATATATATATATATATATATATATATATAGATAGGGACTTCGAGGCTTCAGGGGAGCCTGATCTCGGTCGTCGAGTCAAATCACTGGGAGCAAGATAGGCAGAGATTGAAATGCAGGGTTGCCTTTACCCTGCTGGCTGAGGTCCGATACATCCCCCACCAAAATCAAAAAGTTTGCAGAGTGACACCTCCTCCGGTCCGCTTGCGGCTTAGGCTACGAAGGTTTGGGGTTTCGAATCCGCTCAAAAACTCCCTGGCCTGAAGATGCAGCAAAATCGGAGGGTGGCCCTGGGCTCAGTTTGAGGGCACCAGGCGTCTAGAGCTCCCCTTGCGATCCTCTCAGTTCAGTTCCCTGGACACTGTTTGCACTGACGTTTGCCCTCCCTTGACGGCCTAGCTCAAGTTGCGGGTCTTGCATGTGCCGATGAATAAGGGCTCCAGCCGAGACTGGAAACACTAAGCGCCGCGAGAAGCTTTTTGGTATCCACCAGACGACTAGGCCAGACCCCAGGAGGAGTTGGATTCGGGAGTGGGCCACAGGTGTGCGGTTCGAGGTGTTTCCAGTGCCTCCACCGTGATCTCAGTAGCATCCGAGACCCTGAGCCCCGGATCCCAACAACCCGACAACCCAAGCCCGAATCGAAATCATGCATCCTAAATCCCAGTACCGACAATGTCAGGAAACGAACCCTCCAGTTCGACTCTGAAGCAAACTTCTTGGGGGTGCTCCGAGGGCGTCAAGCTCAGGGACCATGGGCTTTGGTCATGTTGGGGGGCGTGGGGGGGGCGTAGGTTGACGGTTTCGTTCTTGAGCGCCCCTCTTGTGGCATGATGCAGATAGAAGGCCATAAATACCGAACACTCCATGCCGAAACCGCAAACTCCGCATCGGCTGGGACCACCAGCTGTGCCGAGATCAGCGTTTCCACGGCATCCTTGAGGAATACCCTGGCAGTGTCGACTGTAGCCGTGCGAAACACGTGACCAGGTGCGAGTATCTGTTCGTAGTATGCTTTTCCCTTGAGAGCTTTACTTAGCATGGCATCGATCCCGCGGGATTCAATCGGGCTCATCACTATACAGAGAAGCGAAACGACAATCTACATAGAAACAGAAATATTCTCGTCCAAGCTATTGGATTCAAAGTAACTACCTAACATCACAATATCTGTAAGAATCGCAATATTAATTGCCGCCGCCATATCCCTAACAGCAGCAAAGCTCTCCCCATGGAAATTTGCAGCTGCACTGCGAACAAGTGAACTGGTTCAACTCAGCCTCAAATTTGAGCGTGGAAGGCGGCGAGGGCCTTTAAACTTTCCCGAGAGTCAGAAGTTGAGGGTTTGGGGACCTGCGGCTGAAGCGTGAAGGTTGTGGAGACCCAGAAGGTCTAAATCTCTTTCTTTTCCACCGAATTGCAGCGTCAAGCTGCAACTTCCTCAGGGCCCAAGTCGGACCACTTCCGTGCGCAAGGCAACACGTGCATTGGAGCTTGAGGGAGAGGACCATGGTAGGAGCAGTCGTGGTGGACAGTGTCCACGAACCACAAGCAAAGGACGTGTCCAAGAACTGACAGCAACTTCAGCAGCAGCAGCGCCGCAAGTACGGGGTGTGGTGGTGCTGGTGGTAGATGTGGTTGGGGGTGTCATGGTGGTGGTGGTGGTGGTGCAGTATAGTATTCGTGGTAGCAGCAGTAGTCGGCAGTAGCAGTAGCAGTAGCCGTGGCAGAGGGTAGAAGATAAGAGGGAGTAGATGATAGATAGTGCTAGTAGATCATGGGAGTTATATCATGGGAGCAGCAGGTAATTATTCAAGTCGTGGTCGTCGTAGTCGAAGTCTTAGTAGCAGTCGTCGTCGTCGTATCGGTAGTGGTAGTGGTAGTGGTCGTGGTTGTCCTCGTGGCACTGGCAGCGGCAGTGGCGGTGCTGGTGCTGGTGGGCGTGGTGGTCGTGGTGGCAGCAGCAGCAGCAGCAGCAGCAGCAGCAGCAGCAGCAGCAGCAGCAGCAGCAGCAGCAGCAGCAGCAGCAGCAGCAGCAGTAGTAGTAGTAGTAGTAGTAGTAGTAGTAGTAGTAGTAGTAGTAGTAGTAGTAGTAGTAGCAGTAGGCGTAGTAGTAGGCGTAGTAGTAGGAGTAGTGGAAGTAATAGCAGCAGGAGCAGTCTTAGCTGTAGGAGTCAGGAATATCTTGTCGATAACGATGACTTTGCTGGCAGGAATCATCACAACAACATCAGTGATTGTGAGCGAGCGAAGACAACAAGACAAAGGTCAACGTAGCTGAACGATTGCTTGCAGGTGTGATCACAGAAATTGGCAAGGGTGCAGAATGTACGTGCGTGCACCACAAGCAGGATGTCCCAAAAGTAATAGTACCACTCAGAGAGACTACGAAGTAACAAAGCAGCAGACGACGACGACGACCACAACCACAACAACAACAACAACAATCACAATCCTATCCCTCTCCCAACCCTAAAACATTCTTTGCCACATTTAATACTCTTGCTCTGTTCGAAACAGAAAACTAGCCAGCACGGCGCCAGCATCTGTTCTGTTGGCTTCGCGTCATCCCGGGGCCTACGCTCAGAAGGCGTAGCATGGTTTCATCAACATGGCGTGCGGGTTGTAGTTAATTGGTGTTAAATGGTGCCGCCGACCGGGCGGGTTGTAGTCAATTCGTGTTAAATGGTACCGTCGACCGCCTGGTTGCGCAGGGCTTGAGGCACTAATTGGAACCGATCGAAAGCTCGAAACTGTATTCGTCATGATATTTCGACGTTTTGTTTGCGGGGGACATTACATGTAAGATGGCTGTTGAGAGCGACTTGAATGGACCGTATGGTCGTAAAACTCATGTGAGGCAGGTCGAAGTCTCTGACTTTTTGGGCTTGGCCTGGTGCTCTCAGCTTTTCGTGCCACAGGCTTGCAGCTCAAGTGGAGTCGCCAATTCTCAATGCTAGGCTGCTAGGCCTTCGCTTTGGGTGCCCGAGCCTTTGACCTGGGAACTGCTGTGCCAATAACCAGACACTGGAAACCCACCCACCCATCAACCCAAGAAGCCATACTTCAGAGAGCCCTCGAACCCTCCACCCAACGCCTTGCAACCTAACATCTTAAACTATCACACACTGAGTCAGACCGAGTTGTGGACGCGGCAAAGGCAGCAGATTCCGAATACTGCACGGCCTGCATTCCGTGGGTTTCCTGTTTGGGGGCTTGGGGTTTCAGTTGAAGGGCTTCTGGTCTGAGGAAAGAAACCTGGACTTTAGGGACCCAGACCTGATTCTCGTGTGCTTGGTAGCATAAAACTTCGGATGTGTGTTGGTGATGGTTCAGTTTAGAGCTTAGGGTTTCCGTGCTGTTTCTGATGTCTGGGCTTTTGGTGTATGGTTGGAATCGCACTAGTCGCTTTGGTCAACTTGCTGCAGACTGTTGTGCTTCTGCTTCATGTAATCCAGTGCGAAGGATTTCGAGCCGAGGCTTTGGGACTCTCTTGTCTTGTCGTTTTCCTCGATTTTGTGAATTCCTGGAGTGCTGGATTTCGGCTTAGGTTTTGCAAAATGTGGTGAGGGTGGTGTGGAGTTGCACATGAGCGCGAGGGCGGCTGTTGCCATTTGCACGGCATGACACGGTTAGGCCCGGCTCAGAGACACTCGGAGCACTCCTGAGATTCTTTCCCTTCTCAGGAACGCAGCACGCGTCTCGGAACTCTAAACCCGGAAAAGAAAAGTTAGGTTCGGGGCCCTAAACTCTAAACCCTAAACCGTGGCTCTCCGGCTGCCTGGCATAGCTGGTAGGCTTCCTCGGCCCAGCGCCGGGCCCAGGCTTCTGACCTGGCACTTGGAGCCCCTGTTGTTCGGCCTCCAAAAAGGGCGGAGTTCACCTCAAGATCCATTTTAGACCGTGGGCTTACAACCATTCGAACCCAAAATCTTCTTCAGAGGTTCGTGTTTCGCAACTAAAACTGGAGGTGTCGGGGTACAGCCGGAGTAGGAGCGGAAGCAGTAATCCTCAAAGGTGTGCGACTAACCAAAAGCCGGTTCCGCCTCTCCAGCATCTGAAACTCAGCCACCGGATCCTTGCAGCTGGGTAGCTGGGTTATCAGGGCCCTACGCATCCTGCGCTTCAGTCTTGGGGTTGGAGGATACCTTGGCATTAGCCTCAAGAGAGATGTGTCCATGTCGGGGGCCTGGACTTGTTTTGAAGAATTCTCCCTGTCGCTACGGCAGCCAACCAGTCAGCGAACTAAAGAATGCCAGTCGGTCGATCAATCGACGAAGAATTCGTAAGAAAGCCAGCCAGCCCTTCTAGCACCTCGAACTGTTGGACCATGGAGTTGTCCAAAGCATGGCTGTTGCGGTCCGCCTCACAGTGGCAACCATCAAAGGGCACTGCAGAACACAAATTCACAAGCCGTCATGGATCTGCCGATGCGCAGGATAAGTTATGAAACCATGCTCCTGATGTGAAACCCCAAAGTCGCTCAACAACCTCAGCCTGCATAGTTCTGGATCGTGAATCCCAAGTTCCTACCCCGCATGCTGAACTGAAAAAGCTGTGACAGCTGTAACCGCCTAATAAGTCACAGGAGGCCGCCGACGAAACACTGAAAGGCTGACAGATGTCTCGACGCAGGCGATTGCATGGTTAAAGACGGTTAAGAGTCTGGGATGCTTCGCTCAGATATACGGCCTGCACAAATCACGTAACGGCTTGCAAAGAGATCCGAACAGACATTCGACTAGACATATGCAAGTATCATGCCTTCAGTTGGTGTTCTCAATGCGTTGTGGCAACTTCACGTCCTCCACAGACCTCCAGCAAACCATGTGGAAACCCAAACCCTCCCTACCCGACCGCGATCTCTATAGCTGCAGCTCGAGATTGAATGTTGGAGCAGCAAATCTCGCAAGCCCTTAAACCCCCGTCACGACAACCATCAACTCTGAATTTGCCTTGAGCATGCGGCAGACATAATAGTTTATGCCACCCTCCTGCAGAGGCGAGGGATGCTGGTCTGAAGGCTACGGCAAGGTCCAAGGAACAGGGATTCGTGGACGTTCTTGGCTTTGTGAACTCAAGGCTTTGAGGTCGAGGCAGGGGCATCGTGCTATGGGGATTTGGGGGTGAACTTGCAGGTACTAGCTGCCAGACTAGACACCCAGAGTTGTGGAATTGGTTGCAGGAAGACGTGGTGACGTTGGAACCTTGTCAACTAGCCGCCTAGCCTTCTGCTTGCTGCTGCAATAAACTCAAGGGACCTCTCTTGGAAATCAGGATGCTTTGTGGAAGTTACACAGTCACAGAGCAGAAAGGTATGTTCTACTTCGAACATGCAGTCCCCCGAGGCCAACGAAAGGATTCAGGATGAGGGGTTGCAGCCTAAAGCCTGAATCCTGCCAGACATGTAGAAACAATCAGAGCTTTTGATTTTACGGCCTTGTGGCTTTCGGATTGCTTTCTTACGCTCACTGTTCCCTACCGTCCCGTGTATCCAAGAAGAGGACCACCTTGTGGGCCACGGGCATGAAATCCGCTGGTTAGGAGACTTCAAGAACACCAGGCCGTGTCAGGCAAGGAGTGCAGAGATCAATCTTGCGCCTGTATAATGATGTTATTGTAGTGGGCACAAACCCAAAACACTAAAAGCTAAACCCAAAGTATCAAATTTTCACCTGCAACAGACACCTATGCTTCTTTCCCAACAGTCGTCTGAAAATGTGCAGTGCACCCGTATACTTTGCTCATTAGAGTTCATCTCGGTTGTGCCCGTCGAAAACAGCCTTTCAACATCTTGCAGCACTGGACGAATTGCGAGTTTTCAACCATGTACTGCACCAAAACAGCTAGTCTCGCCAGCCTGAGATGTGTGCTCGTCCCAAGGGCGGCCACACACCTTATGGTTATAAGCTTCATCAAGTTGGGCAGTTTTTTTTGAATGGATCGAGGAATGTCTGTTAGGTTTTTCGAATGTCGGATGCTCGGTCAAGGCGGGTTGGAGGTGTGGGTAGGCTTGAGTTGAGGCTCTGTCCCCTTCTTGGAAGTCAGGCTATACTTACATATATATATATATATAAACACACACATATATATATATATATATAGATAGATAGATACACATATGTGTATGTATATATATATACATATATATGTATGATGTTTGGTATTATGTATGTTGTTGTTGCTTGTGATATCTATTTTATTTCTTGCATTTGTTACTGCTTATCTTATTAGTAGTGGGGATAGCAGTAGCAGTAGCAGTACGTAGCAGTAGTAGTAGCAGTAGTAGCCGTAGTAGTCGTAATCGTAGAAGTATATAGTAGTAGTAGTAGTCGTCGTCGTGGTCCTAGTAGTCGTGATAGTAGTAGTAGTAGTAGTAGTAGTAGTAGTAGTAGTAGTAGTAGTAGTAGTAGTAGTAGTAGTAGTAGTAGTAGTAGCAGTAGCAGCTGGAGTAGTAGCAGCAGTAGCAGTAGCAGTAGCAGTAGCAGTAGCAGTAGCAGTAGCCGTAGCAGTAGCAGTAGGAGTAGGAGTAGGAGTAGGAGTAGTAGTAGTAGTAGCAGTAGTCGTGTTAGTAGTCGTAGAAGATCGTCCAAGTAGAAGTAAACGTAGAAGTGGAAGCAGACGTATATGCATACATATATATATATATATATATATTAGTATTAGTGCTCTGTAGCAAAAAGATCTGCTATTACAGTACAGAGGTACGTGTTATAGTAAAGTGGTACAAGAGCCAAAGGAGTCTGGCATTCTCGCAGCATGCTCAAGCAAACAAAACGACTGCAGCCCAAATCTAACCACCGCAAAAAAATGAAGCCCAAGCACACCGAAGCCTATATCCGAATCCCCAAAACGCGGAAAGTTCAAGCCAAAACCGCAGCAACTTCGCAAATCAGCTGCGTCGCATAGCAGAAGTGAGTCCCACAGCGACAAACCTCAGGTGACCATTATGGACTGCATGGTGGGCTTGAAGCGGCTTAAACAATATGGTGGACGAATTTTTTATAATAGATGCCGAGGTGAGTGAGCATGGGCAGCAAACGTTGAGGATCCGATCTATTGCAGCTTGTGGCGGCCCCTTGCCAATCTAGGGGCAGGACCCCTGGAACTGTCACAGTTGTTCTCACTGGTCAAGACAAGCAATTCTTTGGAATAGCTTGCGCAAAGGAACATGAACCCAAGTCCACAACAGCAAACCTGATGCGGCCTACTGTACACTCCCACAGCCCCATACAGCCTCACAGAAGTCTACGAAACCTCGCAGTAAACCTCTGGAAAATTCAGCACACATTTGGAGTTCAGCCGCCATGTGGTTGCATCCCCCGTTGCGCTGGACGATGGCCCGACAGCCAGGGCAGTGCTGCGCATTCCGCCGGACCCAGCTCTCGGCGCGGTCCTGCTGGTGCCTCTCTTGGGTCGGACTTCATTCCACAGGGTAGGGGCTGAGTGCTGTGTCGGGGGGGGGGGGGGGGGGGCGGGCGACTTGGAGCTTCCGGGCATCTGAACCTGGGGAGAATCAGGACAGAATACGTCAATCTGGGCTTGCAGGAGTGCAAGCAAAGACATTGAGCAAGAGAGCTGCGCGAACTCACAACTGCTTACCCAAGCTTGCTTGTCTGTCGAGAGTGTGCTCGCGCTCTCGTGCTCGTTGCTGATTGATTGAACATGTTGTCGCTGCGTCCGTACATAAGAGGGACATGGCCCGTTCTCTGGACCACACTAGCTGGCTCTCCTGCTTACCCTGAACCTTACACAGACATAGTCAAGATCATGTCAGGATCTCTGAAGCCTCGTTGAGTTGTCGAACATCTCTACTTTCTGCAGTTGTGGGTGGCCATACCTGGATGAGTTCAACCATTGATCTATAGCTTTAGAAGCGAGAATCTTGCGCTTGGCGGCAGGTTCGAGTTTGAGTCGGTAACAAGCAACATATGTAACATAACAGCTCAGCAGCCATAGGACAGAATAGGCTTGCAAGTGTCAGCGCGTTCTCTCTGGCGGCACAAGGATCGGCACAACTTAAGCATCTGCACCGTTCTACTTTGAAAAGGTCAGAACCATGTAACTTTGAGTCTGAGCGGCTGCCGTTGCTCCTGGGTCCGGGCAAAGTCCCCGTAGACTGCCTGTGCAGAAGGGACCGCTGAGGCGACAGTAATTGTTTGGTAAACAGGAATCACAACGTACAGAGAGTGGTGGACTTAACACATCTGCCCATGCACATGCAAACGCGGCTTCACGTGCAACGGCGAGACCGATTAACTTGCATTCGATGGGAAGCAGAAACAGATCCAACCAGCTTCGCCTCCCTTGTTTTAGCCCGCTACAAAAGGTGAAGCTTCTGCAAGGGAGCGAAATGATGCAAGAAGAACTGGCATGACTCCTGCTATCGCCAACGTCCAAAACCGTGAAAGCTCGAGGACTAAGTTCGAATCTCCTTCTCGAATTTTGTTCAAACGCTGCCCAGACTGCCTTCCATTCCGCAATCTGCTCACAAGTGCAGGGCTCGTGGCCCCCAGGAAGCTTGCCTGCATGGCCAGGGGTTCCAATTTGGTGCGCGGTCTTGGGCGGCTCTGTTCCTACAGGTTGAATGCAACATGAACGGACTGGTAGGACTAGGAGGAGGAGGAGGAGTAGTAGTAGTAGTAGTAGTAGTAGTAGTAGTAGCAGTGGTAGTAGTGGTAGTGGTAGTAGTAGTAGCAGTAGTAGTAGTAGCAGTAGCAGTAGCAGTAGCAGTAGCAGTGGCAGTGGCAGCAGCAGTCACAGCAGGAGCAGTAGCAGGAGCATTAGCAGTAGCAGGAGCATTAGCAGTAGCAGTAGCAGTAGCAGTAGCCATAGCAGCATAGTAGCACTAGCGATAACAGTAGCAGCAACAGCAGAAGCAGTAGTAACTGTAGTAGTAGCGGTGGTGATAGCAGTAGTAGTTGCAGTAGTAGTAATAATAGTAGTAGTAGTAGTAGTCGTCGTCGTAGTAGTCGCAATGGTAGGATTCGTAATAGTAGTCGTCGTCGTCGTGCTGGTACTGGTACTTGTACTGGTCCTGGTACTCTTACCCGGACACTAGCAGTAGCAGTAGTAGCGGTAGCAGCCGTAGTAGTTCTATTAGGACTAAGTGCGGTGAACGATTTTAAAACATGCCGAAGTATGAAAATCTGAGCAAATTCTTCACACTACCTGCGTGGTCGGGCCGGGCCGCCAAGTAGACTCACAATGGTGAAGCTGTGGTGTTCAAACGTCGTCCGTGGTGAGGCATCAACAAAAACATTAAATCCAAGGATTAACAAAAAACAAAACAAGCACCACAAATTAAATCAGTGGTAGTAGCAGCAGCAGAAGTAGTAGTAGTAGTAGTAGTAGTAGTAGTAGTAGTAGTAGTAGTAGTAGTAGTAGTAGTAGTAGTAGTGGTAGTAGTAGTAGTAGTCGTCGTATCAGCAGCAGAAGTATAGGTGTAGTAGCGGTAACATTATAGTATGTACAACACTAGCAGTGGCTGTGGTTGTGGTAGTGCTGGTCGTAGCAGCACTAGCAATAGTTGTTGTTCTCACTGCCTACTCGCTATGAATGGTCGTGGTCGCTGCTGTTGTGGCGGTGCTCGCGCTGGTGGCGAGAGTGGAGGTGCCCACGACAGTGCTGGCGGTTGCGGTGCCAGCTATGTTTGTCAACTCGGCGGTGACTGTGGTTGTAGTTGCTGCAGCAGCCACAAACTACTGCCACCGCCGTTATTGTTGTTGCCTGCTGCTGCTGCTGCTGGTTTTGCTCTAACTTAGTTGTTAGTAAGCTTCGCTGTTGCTGATGTTGCTTATTGCGTTAGTGCTGCTATCAATAGTCTCGCTGTCGGCGTTCTTGCTGGATTGACAACTGCGCCTCAGAATCTTTGTGGCATGGGTGTCACTGGTGATGTCGTCCTTCCTTGTTTTTATCGTTATGAAATGTATCTATGTACGTCTCAAGAGTGCTACTGCTGTTCATCTGCTTGTGGTGGAAGTCCACGTCCAAGGTCTGGATTAAATTAAGTGCGCCTTTCACCTGTCGTGTTAATCCTGCCAAGATGCAACTGGAGCAGAAAGTGTAGCCGCATGCACAGCGCACGGTGAGGCCGTCGGTCCTGGCCACGGCCTTTTCACAGCCCGGTTGCGGACACCTCGACTTGCAAGGATTCGGGTTCTTCCCAAGCCAGAGCATAGCAACGCTTCCCAACTTCCCAAAACCAGTGAAGACTTGACAAAGCTTTGAGAGCTCAGCTTTCATACTGATTCAATGAGGGCTAAAGCCGCATCCAAGAAACATGAAAAGGTCTCCGGATAATTGGCTTCAAAACCTATATAGAAGAGGTTGAGTAGGACGAAGACCACTACTTTCCGCCACAGGTTTTGGGACGACCATGCCGACCATCACCGCGAATCGTTGCAAACAGCAGCAGTGTCATCAGCGATAAGAATGTCATGCTCAAGAGCCTCGGCGGATGTCCGACAGTTGGGCAGCCGAACGCGAGTACCCAAATCCCACGACCAAAGCCTCAACATGCCCGAACGTGAGGGAAGCCTAAGCTAGCAGCCCCAAGGCACCAGCAGATGTGGGCCGCAGCATCCACAGCCTGAACATGACGTCAAACGGTTTCTGGCCCAGCATCTAATAGAACCAACGTCTATACTTGCAGATGGAAGCTGCAGAGCCCGACAGCTTAATATGAATTGAAGTTGACACTGGTTGGTCTGACGTAAGCCTCATAGTTCATACGTCTGTGAGTTCATTCGTTGCATTGTAAGTAAACGAGCAAGAAACATGACCGCAGCTTCATTTAATACCGCTGCGCACTTCCATTTCATTGTGTTCACTGAAGTTCACCTGAAGACTATACAGCAGTTTAATTCAATGCAGCCACGCTTGTTTCACATCATTGCGTTGAGTGATGTTCACTTGAGAACTACAGTGTTCCAGTTCGGCAAAACATTTTCATTCTCACACATGGTACGGCATCTTGCACTTCATCCGCTATGTATACTATATGGGTTAGATAGCAGCACGAATAGGTACAGTAGGTTGTTCTATGACGGAGCGCAGCGGAAAGAATAAAACTGCTATTTATGGCCTCGGCAAGACTCGACACGCAGCTTGTTGCGACAGGCTAGTGCGGTCGGCACGGGGTGAACAACAATAGGACAACCAGCAAGAGCCCTGGCATTCGTTCAAATGAATGGGTTGGGATTCAAAGTTAAAGATTTACTGTCCGCAGTCACACCTGCGGAAAGGCCGAGACCTGGAGGTCAAAACGGACAACTGCTACTGACCTGCGGCGACAACAGACCCTTATCAAGAGGCCTGACAGACACCTGCTCTGCCACTATAGACCCCAGATTCGAATTCCTAAACCTAAGCAAGCGCCTGAAGCGCGGCGAGCCGAACAAACTTCTGCCGCGCAGCAGATCCCAGGATGCCTCTGTGAGCGTTCACCGCATCGTAGGGGGCAGGAGCTACGCTTTGGGTAAAAAGGTTCAGGGTGTCCGGCGTTTCAGGTTTAGGCCAGAATGTTAGAAGCGGCTGATACAATCGTCTTCAGCATTGGCAGCGGCAAAGCAATTGGGATAACGCTGGGAGACTACATACGGTTTACATGTTGTCTGCTGTCGGTCTTTAAAAGATCCCATCGCTGTTGGCCTCGAAATCCACGCCTCAGGAGTAGTCCCATGCTATATGTAGACTCAGACAGAACGCGAGTAGGTATAGATGTTGACATCGGGCTCAAAACCTATCTATGACTAAAAGCCATTGAAATCCTCGACAATGAGCGTCTTTTCCGGGTGTTCATAGGTCATGCCAAAGATGAGAAACGAGGCACATGATAATATTTATCCAACCTGCACCACCCCCCTAAAACAAAGGCCTTCAATGCACGCCTCGCCCAAAGGCAATCGGCACTCGGGCTCCTAGGAGGACATCGGCCGTGGTTGAGAAACCTACGAGAGCCGTACACTGTCATGCATGCTCGCATACACAGAACTTAGTGTAATCTCGGCTTGACTGAGGTTCTATGCAAGGTGTACAACGCGGACGGTATCACACGAACTCACACGCACACACACACACACACACACACACACACACCCCTCTGCCAACTTCCGTTCCGATTCAGCTCACGATTTAAGAACATACCATTTGCAGGACAAAGTAGACTGTGTCTATTTTTCATGCTTTCTGGCAATGTAGAGTTAAGCGCATCCCGGTTTCTGGACAGATGCAGCCTATGGTACTTATGGCAGGAGGTTAGGATGCAGGCATTGACACACTTGTAGCCCAAACAGCCCTACAGAAAACACCGGTCGCACGCATAAGTTTTCATATCAAAGGAGAGACTGATTGTCCTGGTTGCAGCTGCCTGCAAAGTATTATGACAACCAACTGCACGAGTGATCCAAAAACTTCCACTACACTCACGGAAACCGGAGCGCTGGTGGCACTTTGCCAATTGCAGCATCCATGTTACTCGTGCCAATACCAAGAAAACTATTACAACTCCTATGGTGCTCGAATTGTCTACGGCTCTCATGAGACCCACAACAAACAATAATGATTGATACTACAGGCAACTCAGAAAAACAACGGCTGGCCGCAGTTGTCCAAATGATACTTACACATATTCCAAGTCGTGTTGCTTAGCAATTGTTGGCCCTAACATTCCAGAGTCCAGATTTTCGGATTTCCAGACATTATCTCCAGGTCTTCCAGATTTCCTGATTTCCAGGTTTGTTAGCTCCAGCCCCAGGTTATGAAACCCCAAGTTGGTCAAAAGCAATGCAGAGACCAGTTCTTCCATAAAACCTCAAGAAGGGCTACAACTCATGTGCACTCATGTTTGTGGGCTAAACTATCGCACCGAAGATAAATGCCGAGTACTTCTCTTCCAACTTCAAGCCTGACAACCAATGTTCAGGTCTACGGGACCACTGTAGGGGCCCGCAGCCTGCATCCCACATAAGCCGAAACCTGGACTGACTGAAGATCCGAAAGCCCCGAAACAAGAAAAGTCTGGCTCTGTGTCAACTGACAGACTTAGACAGATCAAGGCTCAAGGCTGAGGACCCTTTGCCAGCCCCTGTTCGACACAAGTGATCGCTAAGTGGCCGGGCAGACCATGCCTCTGACATTGCCAGCAGCTAGCAGACCCTCCAGATACCTGAGCCATGCTTTAGGCAAACGCCAAACAACTTTCAAGTGCAGCTGCCTGTAAACATCTCACGCGATCTGACTTAAGCTTTGTTTCTAGGCAACTTGAAAAGAAGAGAAAATGTAACAAGTCAGACTAGGCACTGCCGCAGGCATGCATCACCTAAGTCAGTGAAGCACTTCACACTAGAAAGTACTAGACCAAGATCATAGACAAGTTTGAAACGCGGACACAACAAAAAAACGACCAGGAGGTACTGCTGCCGGCCAGGGTGACAGAAGGCATGCGACCCTTCACAAGGCAGCAAGCGGCGCAAAGAGTCGCCACCAGGTTCTAGGCCTCTCATGCACAGCTCTCCTCGTCAGAACTTCATCAAGGGGGCTTTAATAACAATAACATAAATAATGATAGTAATAATAATAGCAATAATGATAGTAATGATAATAATAGTAATAATAATAATTGTAATAATAATAGTAGCAACAATAGTAATAATAATAATAATATAGGCCTGCGGCCCGCGACGGGTGAGTATCTCAGTCTATTGAGTTTAGGCGATCACGCGAATCACGTAAGTCGGGTTACCCTGGCAGGTTGAGAGTACTCTTCACATAAGCCCTTACAACCTGCAACTGGCTCCCGCAAATCTAAAGCTAATGCTACTCCCGACCGCAAAACGAACCCTAGAGGTACCCAAACAGCAAGACTAAATGCAATAACTGAACCGCAAGACCCAGCATCGGCCTGCGAAGCAAATGCCACAGACCAACTCGGAAGAGGTGCGGCCCTCGCGGATCCCGGCAGCGGTCTTTGCAGCTTTGGCATCGACCTGGAAATTTGTCCAAGGTATACACTTGGAAAGCTCAGGGTGCAGCCTGCAGCGTGGAAGGGCTGGTGATTGTGGCAGGGGAACTATGCTCTGACACATTGAGATGATGACGACGGTGATGACGAGGCAAATGATGACGACGATCATCATCATCATCCTCATCTTCACCATCATCATAATCAACATCATCATGGTCATCATCTCTCATCACATCAGCAGCACTCATTATACCGAACTGGATTCCGGCACCATCAGCAGCAGCATCCTCATCCTCCCACCACCCTTCACATTTAACAACCAGCATTGTTCATGATGGCGACGAGTATGATGAACACCATTAGCATCATCGCCTTTGTCCGCCTCCTTCCGACTGTCATTGACATTGCCAGAGCAGACATGAATCCTGCTGCGCCAACTCCTGGTCCTACCCCTGGCCCTCCTCCCTCTACTTACTACTACCTCTAGCTGCTGCCTGTACCACTCGCACCCACCACTGGCACTACCAACACTGCTTCTACCTGCTCCTACCACTTCCATAACAACTGCCACTGCCACTACCACTAACACCTCCACCACTACCACACTACTCCCACTCCTACTCTCCTACTCCCAAGGACCTACTGCTGGTACTCTTCCACTTCTGCTCTCCTACTCCTTCTCCTGCTCTTGCTCGACTCCTTCTCCTACTACTGCTGTGCTGTTGATACTGGTACTGCTACTCTTCCTCCTGCTGCTGCTCCTACTACTACGACTACTACGGCTACTACGACCACTACAACTACTACAACTACTATGTACTACTACTACCACTGCTGCTGCTACTGCTACTCCTGCCACTACTGCGACTACTGCTACTACTGCTTCTGCTGCTTCTACCTCTTCTACTTCTACTCTGACCTATACTTCGACGTCCGCTTCTACTTCTACTACAACTACTCCTGCTGCTACTACTACTACTACTCCTGCTCCTGCTCATGCTACTGCTACTTCTACTGCGGCTTCTTCTGCTGCTGCTGCTGCTGCTGATACTGCTGCCTGCTACTGCTACTGCTACCACTATTACTACCACTACCAGGTCACTACCAGCATCACTACTTCCTACTACCTACTTACCTACTTACTACTACTACTACTACTACTACTACTACTACTACTACTACTACTACTACTACTACTACTACTACTACTACTACTACTACTACTACTACTACTACCACCACGAGCAACACTAGCACTACCACTACCACAACCGCTACCAGTACCATTACCAGTCCGACTACCACTGCCACGGCGGCGGCGACGACGGCGACACGACGACTACATGACAACTTCTGCGACGACGACTGGTACGATTACGACGACGACTACTGCTGACACGTGTTCTTCTTTTTCACTATCATATTATTATTGTTGTTAGTATTGCTATTTTGTTATGATTGCTATTATTGTTTTTAGTGTTATTGCTATCATCTTGATTACCACTTTGATTCTTATTGTTCTCATTATTGCGTGGAGTCTTACTATGGTGAAGATGATAGTTCTAATTATGCGACTGTAAAATATTGTCAGATTATCATTATCATGTCCGTCTTCACCTTCATTCAGACAATACTGTCAACATGACGTTTTGGACAACCCGCCCACCTGAAATTGCGAAATGGCGGCTTCGGGACTATGTCCAAAGTGTCGCAGCAGCGCTTCTGCCACGGCAGTGGACGTCCCGGTTGCTCGCTGCACCTGGTCGTAGCTTGTGCAAGAAGAAGCTTGCTCGTCTAGTCGGGTTGCTACAGCAGTTGCAGGCTTGCTTCATGAATTATAGGTCCTATCATAAATCTCGCGCCCTATCACTTGAACAGTGAACTTAGCTCCTGAACTTTAGCCCAGGTTTGTAGGGCATAAACTTAGGTCGGAGACCTTTCATCGTCAACTTATCCCTACAAAAACCACAAGATGCTCTAAAGCCCTAGACATGCGATGCCTCGCTCCACAAATTTCAAAGATGCCATCCCGGCCTGCTCGACGTCCTCGAGGACTCTGCCCCGAATCTGCTGGGCATCTTGCAACCTGCCATGGGGAAACAGAGAGGGCTTATAAGAGCAAGCATAGGCTAACCCCACACCTCACATCCTATACCCCCCCTACGCTTTCGCCCCATTTCTCAACCCGCCTACCAATTCAACCCTTCAAAACAGCAAAACACAGAGCGCCTCCCAAAAACAATACAATAATCCCGAAAACAAATCAACCCACCACAACAAATACAATTATCCATAACACATCAGGTAAAGAGATACTGTAATCATAGAAGGGACTATTATGCGACCGTAGTATTAGGCGAGTATATACCTGGGGACGAGGGCTGAGCCGAAATCTACACGTTATTTTACTATGAGGATCTACTAGGCCTGGTTCTTTCTAAAAGCAACCAAGCAACACGGTGCCGCAGTCATCAGCGAGCTTGCCTGCATAAGCCAAATTCCCCACAGCGCGTGCCAGCCACTGTGGCATGCCGCCGTAGAGAATGCGGTCCAAGATTGCAGCATCTGTCGTCCTGTCCTCCATGGCCCTGCAGCCCAGCTTTCCCAATTCGACTGTGGCCTGCGCATCACCACTTTCCAGTGCAACATCCATGGCCGTTCGGAGGCCATCTGCTTGACCCAAGAGCAAAGCTGCCAAAGATTGTCGTGGCAACCCACCTGGCTGACACCAAGCAGACTCAACTAAGCCTTCGTCCTCTGTACGTACCGAAAACATCAGAAACAAAAACAAAAATAATGCCGTTTCAGCTATCCAATGTGCCAGCAAAGCGACATGCAGGCCCGGGCGCAACGTGCAGCACATCGCCGGGTTTTGCGATGCAGCTGTGAAGCAAGCCGCTTGCAGGTCGTCTCCGAAAATAGGCCTGGGACCCTCGAACAACGAAGCCGCCGTAGCCGTCCTGTAAGCAACGCTGCTGGCACCTCGCCATACATTTGAGGGCATGTCTCGTGGAATCTGAACTCTTCTGATTAACATGTACAAGGTCTGTGGTCAAGAAAAACAGCAGCACCTCAACAGTGGCTCGGCGGGCATGGAGTCTAGAAAGTCGTCATCCTGCTCCGGTGCGTCGCAACCCCGGAGCACCAGCCAAGGCCTCCAGGTGAGCGCGGTGGACAAGGTCTGCAAGACCTCCAGGGGGAGGAGGTATAATAGTATAGCCTTCCTGCACTGACTAGCAGCTACTTGATTGCACCATTGCTGCTCTCCAGGGGTGCTGTCTTCGCATAGTCGCTCGCATCCCGAACAGTAGCAGCGCTGTATCCTCTTCTGCTGATCTGTTTTTCTCAATGAGACATCACACAAAACCCACCTATGCTCTCTACGCTCTGACTCTGAAAGCTCGCCAATTTCTCTGCCGGTGCTGGTCTGGTTTGGGACGGAGCAAGCAGCGCTTCCAGGACATCGTCCCAGTGCAACTGCAAGCAAAACTGTGGCAGCCAGACACACCGCATTGGGTGGACTGGTGCTTGTACAGACCTGCTACAGCGGTTGGGTTCAGTAAAGCCTGCTCAATGGCCGCCGACAGCGAGCCCACTGCAAGCCTTCATCTTCGGGCGGCAGGCGGACTTGACGCAGTGCGTGCAAGCAGGAGACTTGTCGTTGGTGATGCCTGCGTAGCACAGCTAGGAAGACTGCAGCATGCGAGAGGCAGCTTGCTGCGCATACATCTGTCTGAGATTTCGTGTGAATGCTTCGAAAACGTGTTGAAAGCTGACAGACGCAGCAATCGGAGGGGAAACTTTTACCTGGACTTACCCGTTCCCTTGAAGCAAGCCGCACTGGTTCATGCAGTGGTCCCGGGAACAGCCCACCAACTGGGCCATGCAGGATGCGCATGAGCCGGAGTAGCCCTTCTTCTCCATGCAGTCCTCTGTGCATATCAGCGAGATTCTCACTGTACGTCGTGAAAGTGATGCTACACCGAAGACCAGATGAGCATCATGAACCGCGCATAGCCCATGAGCCGCAACCCTGACAGCGAACCAAAAACTAAAATCCCGGAACGGACTCAGCTTCCCTGGCACCCCCAAACGGCATGTAGTCCTTGGTGCATGGGAAGCCAGCAGCACACCCACGGCCGCAACTGTTAAGGGCGGCGTCAAAGCTCTTCTTGCCGCCGCTCTTCCAAGTCTTCATGTCTGCAGCACCCGTGCAGCCGCCGCCCTCGACCTCAGCCTCGGCCTCTACCTGTGTGGACTCCTCCTCGTCATCCTGCAAGGCTTCCAGGTAGTGGACCTTGATGCCGCGCAGCTGGTTGAGCTCCAAGCTGCAGTCCTGCCCGGCTTCGCAGACGTCATCCGAAGCCAAAGCTGTGGCCACGTCCTCTCCGAAGGCACCGGCAAAGCTCAAGAACACGAACAATGCTCGAAGAGCCATGGCCAGCGTGTGAAATCAGGAAGGGCTTCGGAGCTACTTTGAGAGCAAAGTCAGGCTCGCCAGAATTCCATGCCGAGGCCGATGGTATGCGCAAAAATGCTGCTTCGAGGTTACCGGACCGACTAAGATAGCGGTACTGCACAGGCACCTCTGCACCACCCAGCGCGGCGCACCGGTGGAAGGCTGTGGGCGCCATCAAGCTGATCCTCTGCTGTTCTTTGATTTTTTATCAACCCTGAGCATGACGGACATGGAGCTTTACTAACAGGCCCGAAGTCGCTCCTTTTGCAGCCCATCCAGATGGAAGCCTTGACAAAAGAACCCGACGAAGAACTGAGCTCCAACAAAGCTTTTAGAGCAACGCCCGTTGTCAACAGTGACCCGGGGCGGGCTGTTCTTTCATTGTGTCTAGGACAACTAATATAATTTGAAGGGCAGGGTGCAGTCAGGATGTCGGGCAGCAAGTTTTTGTGAACACGTGACGCCGCCTGCAACAACGGTTCGTGGGCTTCGAGAACAAGGCAGGACAACGGCCAGGAGACGCCAGCGAAAGGAGAAGAAGAAAGCAGAATACGGCGAAGACCGACAGAGGGATGAGCTGCACCCACTGAGCCCCGAACAGACCCCGAAAAGCCCACTGAACAACATCAGAGGCTCATGTCGAGTGGGTCGCCCGGCTCCGGCGGCAAGATCAAATGAAAGGTCTCTTCCAACCTCGGCAACGAGGCTCCGGTGAGGATGAGAGCACAGCAGGGTTTCTCGCGGGATGACAGAACCTACACCCCGGGCTAAATCGAATCCGGGCCAGGGTTAAAGTTAGCCAAAAGGCCCACGCAGGCCGTGTCGAGCTGGCATATTCCAAACCTCCTACACGAACTGAAAGGCCTCACAGCCTCAACTTGCAAGCATGCGCCTTCTGGAACACTTCACACCTCCACCAAAAGCTTCCTACGAAATCCTACGGTGACACTGACTAAGTAGCCGCACATCAGTTGAACCCGAGTTATATTCCCGGCCCAATCCACGCCGAGACACTGCCGTCGCAGCGCTGAGCCGTGGATGCTGTCGCCGAGGAGCCGGCGCAGTAGCGCTGCCCGCCGCCTTTCCCGTCCATTGTGTATCACTCGTGCGGGGTTTCGAAGTTGGGACTGGGGAGTCTGATGCGAAGTATACCTTTAGGATGCGATGCGAGAACCCTACACAAAACACCATCTACAGCACGATTCTTCTTCGGATCCAGGAGAAGCCGCCGACGACAGTTCGAAAATTGAAGCTTGTCGCTGCACCATACTGCATTTCCGGCACCTGGCCGAAGCCGCAGCGCGCCGTCGCAGGCGCGGCGTAGGGCGCAGGCCGTGCCGCAACAGGAGCCCTGAACTGGTGAATGAGGTGGGATCGAAAAGCTTTATGACAATAGGGCTAGGCTTGCAACCAACGCCGTGCACGGGGCTACGGAAGCAGGCCGCAGTGGGTTGATTTGGGGAGACGGGTGGCACCAGCCACTATTTTAACTAGGTGAAGGTTGGTCTGTGACAAATGTCTCTGCAAAATTACCAGTCAAACTGGCCTAAACGGGCTTCTGAATGTCTGACTGCAGTCACCTAAAAGGCCCGGGGGTGAAAAGGTGGGTGCACCGGTACTTCCTTAACTCTTATTTGCTGCGCTGGGACTTAGCAGTCCTGGGCTCAGGAAGTCGAAATGTCCGTCACCGTACATCCAAAGAATGTTTTACATGGGTGGTTGCCAAAATTAGGGTCCCTTTTTGGGTACCCTAAATATTAGGTGCCGTATTATTATAATAGGGACCCAAGAAGGGACCCTAACTTTGACAACCACCCACATGGACTAACTACGTAGCTCCCCCTAACATGACACAAACACCCTTTCTCCGTCCAGGGCCGTCCTTGGCAAATGTAGTCCAATGCTTGGCCATCGAAGCCATTTTCATGATCCTTGGCACGATCGTCACTTCGTACATCGTAAGTGGCATGATATGCTGTGACATGAAGATGTACTGATGCAGCCACCATCGTGATGAAAGGGATCTGCAATCATATCTTCAACGTGTTGCACCATCATGATCGCCCCTCTGCCCAGCACATCGTTATCATCATCATCATCATCACCATCACCATCACCACCGCTGTAACATATCGTAGTCGTCAACGTTGCCAGCACAGTCCAATCATCAAGGTCTAAAGCAAACGTCAAACCCACTGCCGACATCACCAGAAGAAGCAAACATCGTCTCGAGAGAGGAATCGCAATGGAAATGGACAAAACGGATGTTTATTCATTGCACTGTCTTCTTCGTTTGAATCGTAGGAGTACTATTGGCCGGTCCTACACCGAACATCAAAAGATCAACAGCCAATTATGCCATGTAACCCACAACAGAACTGCTCTGCCAAGCCACATCGGGATACCTTCGCTCCAGGTTTGCAGGGCCTGTTCGGCTCCAGCCAAGGCAATGTGGCACCAGCTCAGGATGTAGCATCTCCAAGACCATCCTTGAGACATGCTCAGAAAGCAGCTGTTCCGCGACGGACGACGACGACAACGACCCTTGTAGAAAAACCTCACAGCCAGGGCTTCCAACTTCACTAGTATCCAGTATGGCCACAGGACATTCCTTGTCACTGCTGATCTTGATGACAAGTATCTGACGAGCACTAATGCTCTGCTATCAGAAGTGCCATTAGCATACATAGGCGTCTTCGTTGCCGCACATCCGTTGCCGCACATCTGTTACGGGGAATCTGACATGCAGCAAATACAGAAGGATTGCATAAGACATAAAATCTGCAAAGCAAACAACGACTTGAGTCTCATCTGTCATGTGACTGACCGCCGTTTCTGACGCTTTGTCCAACTTCCAGATTGGAAACACGAACTCGACTCCTAAAGCTTCATGCTTTGCTTGAAGGACGAAACCTCAACTCATGTCAAGTCTGTCTCTAGGACTCTAGGGCTCACACAAACACAGAGAACTGCGGCGCCTTTCGCGATTTCCCGATATGGTGGTCGGACGAGCGTAGGAAACACTATGGATGCCGCATGGTGAACCAGCATGAATAACATCACTGTCACTACAAGAACAGCAGCGCCAGCGCCAGCACCGGCACCACCGCCTGCGCCAGCGCCAGAGCCGGCATCAGCATCGTCATCATCATCACCACCTTCATCACCATCGCCTGCATGATTTTCATCTCTTCAGATCCGCCTTCACCTTCATCTTCATCAACATGATGATCCTAGTCGTCGGATGTCGTCGGCATCGACGTCCTCATCGTCACCATCGCTCGTCGTCATCGTCCTCGTGACAACAGACCACTACTTACATAACGGCACTGTGAGCATCACCATCACCTTGTTTATTCAGTTTAATTACACTAGTCCTTTCTGCAGCCATTGGTATGCTGAGATTTTACCGAGTGGCGGTTCGTCACCACTGATTAATGCCGATCGCAGCAAAGCATCGGAGGCGACGATCTGCATGTTGACGGTAATTAGGCGGTTGGCTGACGGCTCTTTTGCTGACGGCTCTTTTCGGCCAATCGCTTGTTTTGATGAGAGGTCTTGCATCAAACTGCGAAACTATGTATTGGCTTTGGCTTGCGTCACAGACTTCCGCGGATCTTGGCTTTTTTACGACTAGGTGCTTCAAGCTGTCGACTATGTCTGCCTACCATGAGGCGCTTGTGCTTGGAGAAGGCATGCTGACATGCGTCACCAGTTGGGGGGGGGGGGGGGGTAGCTGAGGACTGGCTTGTTCAGCTGTAAGTTCTGAAGGCCCCTCATAACTGTCCCAACCCAAGAAGTGAAGCAAGCAGGCTTCCCTGAGAAGATCAAGGCCGTGTGCGGGCGTTTAGGGGTTACCTGGATTTCGCATTTGCCTTTTATCTTGTGAAGCGGCCTCCGAGGTATTTCCGCACACCGAAAGTCCTTCATAAACCTTGGCGTTGCCATACTACCAAAACTCGGACAGCTTTCCGGCGTGTGCCTTAAATCCGAACGTGTTCCTTCAATGCACCGAGACCGACCCAATTACGAGCCCAAGACGGAGGTTTATCCTTGCCCACCCATCCAACCAAATCCGCAAAACGACCAAGGTGCTGTTTGCCGAAACGGGCGTAGCTTGGCAAAGATGCGGCGACCCCAGCGACGAATGGAAACATGACCTGCAGGGTAGTCGTCATGGAAACTGGGCACGCGTGACCAAACTAAAGCAAAACAATGCGATACGCGTGCTTTTCAGATGCCACATCGCCCATGAACAAACACAACGAGGAACCGAGGAACATCATCCCGAAATCAAAAACATCAAACGCAGCGAGACAGATCCTTCCGTCTTGGACCTTCCTACATAGTCTACAAACCCCTCTAAGCCCTGAAAACGCCCACCTGGCACCTTGTATACTCAACCCTCATCGTCATCAACTTTCTCCGTCAGCTGACAGGCTAGATCCCCAAACCTAGCCCCAAACATTGCAGGGCGTACTTAGTCAGAGTAAGGAGTATGGGTCATGGGTGTACGGGACTCCACGAGATAGCCTTCACGCTTGCCGATGCCTGTAACGGGCTGTCTGTGAACAAGGGGTCAGCATTGTCATGGTCCGTGCATATGATATGGCATGCTGTGAGTCGAGGCCCGCCGTAAACTGCATCAGGGATCTCTTCTAATCGAAAGCTCTCTTGTGCCGAAAGCTACAGTATCATTAATACAAACAATTTTACATCTAGACGGGAGTCTCGAGACTGCATCAGCAAATACTTGAAGCCTTAACCCTAAAGCTAGGCCCCAGTCCTTGAAGTATACAGCCCCTGCAGCCTGCACCCTGAAAGTTTGACGCTAAACCTAAAGTGCATGGGCCTCAACCCTTCTCGAGCCTCAACCCTCTGAAGCCCATAAATTCAATAATCCTCCTGAACCCTTCTCTTGGCCAAGGTGCGCTCGCTACCTGAAGGCCGCGTGCTCGAAAGCACGATGCCCTGGCCGGACTGCGGAGAATAGACCTAAGAAGCCTGCCCGCTTTTGCACTTGCTGCTCACTGGGGTCTAGGTATATAGACCCTCACGAATTCTTGACCGCCATTTTCACACCGAAGGTAGGTGGGCTCGTTGCGCTGGTTCAGTTTACACTTTTGCTTCGACACCGTCAGTCTGAGTCTGAGTTCGGGCTTCGGAGACCTCAGCCGCAGCCCCAGGCCTTTTGCTGAACCCCAAAGCGCCCTGCTCTATGTTCACTACTTTCAGAAGCCGCAATTCGAAACTGCAAAACCCTACTACATCTTAAATATGCCTTCTGCCCGAGACAAGCAACTTGCTGTCTCAGAGATCGGAGAACATCTGACCCCGCCTCTTCCTGCACGGTGCTGGTCAAACGTGTGTCTGGGAACTCCATGGCAAGAATGCACGTCTTGGGTTTGTCTTGAAGTCGGGATCTGGTGGGATTCAGAGGCTTTACGTACAATCTTGCGGAAGTATCCAGGGGTTCTGGGGTGCGTGTGTGTGTGAGAGAGAGAGAGTGTGTGTGAGAGAGAGTGTGTGTGTGTGTGTGTGTGTGTCTGTGTGTGCGTGGGGGGGTTGGTAAGGGTCAGGGCACTGAGCCCGGGCTTTGTGAGCCTCATGAACATGGAGCCGACAATGAAGAGGCGCAAACGCAAGCCAGGAAGCTGTCAGAATCGGTTCCAAGTTCCAACTGACTTTCGTCGTTACTGCCTGCTTTAGAATTTAAGGACTCGAAACTTGTATCGCTTGAGTAGTTCGGAGGCGCCATTGGATATTCCTGGAAACTGGAACCGAGGACTGCGCCGAACAAGCAGCACAAATCTGCAACTCACTTCAAGACTTCGCCTTTCACTGCACTCACCATGCACTGACTGTGTCGCCTGGGAACAATGAATTACTTGCTGTCGCAAGGCCGGCAACGCACGAAAATTTGCGATGCCATCACAAAAATTTAGGATGAAGCCTCCACTTCGTGGAGGGGTGCACGAATGCCACGCAGTCTTGCGCAAAAATGGCGGTGCTGCCCCTGTCCGGAAAGCAACACGAGAAAAACCTAATTACTGTACCTGGCAATGACCCGCTGCTCATAAATCTTGGCTGCTTTCTTCTCAGGAACAGCCTCACTGGGTGGTCGTAGGGGAGTAGGCGTACTGCTTCATACTGCCAGAGACCCCCGCAGACCGTGGATTACCGATATAGACACTAGGGTCCCATGCGTCTCGCAGTGGCCCTTAAGACACTGGAAGGGACGGATGTCCTCGGAAGCTGGCGGCGAAGCCGGGCTTACATGGACATCCTTCCTTCCGCCCAAAACGGAAGCCCAAGGGTTCGAGCGTGTTTTTGATTCTTCTTGACTTCTTGGGTGCTTCTGAAGGGCTGGTATTCTTATGCGGAAAGGTTCAGCTCGAACCATTGAAACCCAGTGTATCAGCAATTGCTGACTTGGCGCTTTGTCCAATTTCTACCGGAACCCAAAATGAGGCGCTGGGGAGACCCCAAACCCAAACCATAAAACCCGAATCCATGAACTCTTTTCCCTCAAGCCTAAACTCCCAAAGCCTGCTCGTCAATGCCATGGCATCTCTGCCTGCCTCTCATGTGCCCGCCTGTACAGCGGCTCTGAAAGAGCGTCCCCCACTCAGGCTACGGTTATTGAAGGTCGTGGGATTTCGCTGCTGTTCATACGTCATAGCCGTGGCGCCGACGGGACAAGGATTTTGCTTGGTTTCTTTGGGATTCTGCTGTCAACTTGCCCTTGCAGGTTTCTTGCATCAACACACAAGCGGTCTGTCATGCAGTTCCCACAAGCGTGTCATGCCTTGGCAATGCTGTCAAAGGCTATGCCTTTCAAACCCACGAAATACCGAACGGATCCAGAATACTCAGAGGACACGACGTCTGTGTTCTTAGTGAAAATTGAGTCGCCAGCATCTGTCTCAAAGTTCCCCTTAACAACCGTGGCAGCTCGCACAGAAAAAGCCGTCCCCCTCCACCGAAACCTACCTCACAGCAAAGAAAACGCTAAAAGATCAGGGATTGCGACTCCCATTCGGACTGGGGCTGCAAGAACCCCAAACCCCCCAACCTTCGGATTTGCGTCTTGTTTTGCACCGCGAAAACAACTCCAACGTTGAGGTGTAACAGGAAGGAAACGCCGAAAAACGCATCCTGATCCCATCAAGCCTGACGTTAGATCCAAAACCCTGAATCCGACTCAGATCGGGGGCCTCCTGTTGCGTCTCGTGCTCCAGCTTCACAGCTCGTCCGACCTCTTACTCGCTTGGGGTTCGGGGTTTAGTTGCTGTCGGCTTTTTCAGGCCTAGAGGCTTAGAAGCGTACTTGTGAGGCGTCTAAGGAGTCAGAGGCTTGTAAGAATTCAAGAGATTTACTGTCGGTTCGCGTGATTTGGTGGCAAGGTTAGAGTAATCCAGACAAACTGATGCCTGAGTCGTAGTCGTCTTCTGCCCAGCTCTGCCTCTCGCTCCCTCTGTGCCTCTA